CTCTCCGCAATCCAGGCACGCCTCCGTCTTCTTTCTCTGTTCGATCTGGTCGGCGCCCTGGCGAGGTGCGGATGAGCGAGAGCCTCCTTTCCCCTTGGCGTGAGAAAAACCTCTAGCTTGAGTGATCCCCTTCAGCTTCTGGGACGCGATGCTGAGAACGTCTTTCAAGGCCGTCATAGCCTCGTGCACTTCATCGAACTCGGCGGGTTCCTGGTCGGCGGCCTCCTCCGTATTGGGCTCATCGTCATCTGGCTGGCCGTCGACCTCATCCTCGTGCTCGGCAGCCTCCTCGCCGAGCTAATCCTCCTCGATCGTGGCCTCGGCGGCGTTCACCGCGTGGCGAGGCGGGGGCGGCCGCGGAGCCGACGGCCTGTCCAGCAGGGCGGGGCGGCTGGGCGGCGCAGGTGGTTGCTGCCGCCGAGGGCCGCCGCCAGGCTCCTGCCCGCGGCCTCGCTCGCGGTTGTCGCCCGGCGCCCTCTCGCGGCGCGGCCAGACCACTGGCGGCGCCGCCGCCCTCTCAGGGCACAGGCGCCCGATGGCGTTCATGATCCCGTCGAACGCGTAACTGTGGGAAATCGAAAGAATATCTCGAACATGTTCTTCGCCGAGAAGCGCCGTGCTCAGCAAGCGGTGTCCGCGAGCCTGGGCGTCTAGAGACTCGGCGATATTGATCTTGACCTGCTTGAGCGCACGCTCAACTCTGACGCGCCTGGTGCAGTAAGCATGGAGCTTCTCACCATGACTCCTCTTGATTCTCTCGTACGCTGCCAGCAGGTCACCCGTGTGGAAAATCGCCTCCTCGCCGAAGGGCGAGCGCATAACTTCAACCACACGTTCGATGCCGTCCTGGGTGGCCCATGTCATCGGCGGTTCGGAGATGATCTCCTTCAGCGCCTCCCCTGTGACGGCATCTCTGAGCTGCAACGCCGCCTCGGCGAGCGGCAGGTAGTGCTTGACTCGGAAATTCCAAGCGTCCACCGCATCGCGCCAGTGCCGCCAACAGCGCGGGTCCGCTCTGCGATCCCCCGAGAAGGTCGGGGCAGCTGGCGGTGCACCTCCGCGCCATCGGACTCTAGGGGCGGGGCCGCGGGGGTAGAGCGGGTCATCGGCGGCGTCGTCTGATGTGCTGCTGCCGCCTCGGCCGCGCCGACCACGGCGCCTCCTCAAGGCACCGTTGCTCTCCCCTTCGTCTCCGTGTTCCGAGGGCGGGTACGACACCGTGGCGAGAACTCAACTTCACGACGTGCGCTACCAATGTGATCGGACTTGTTTTCACTGCCGCGAGCGGAGCGTGGCCACGGCCTGCACTCCTGCGCATGTAGCTCCTAGCGGGAGCGGAATAATGATTCGGGCCTCGAGCCTGGCAATCTCAGATCGCTGATCTGACTGCTGTGTGCTATGCTTGCCGGTGGATCTGCATCTGTTGAGTTATCTGTCTGATGTCGCCGGCTGGCAATAATAGAAGCTGAAGCGCACTCGGGGCCTCTCGGGGCTAAAGGGTGTCTAGTGGGAGTTTGCAGACAAGGCTGGCATGCTAAAACAGTTACTGCTTCAGAAAAGCAACGCAAAGCAATGCAAAGCAACGCAAAGCAATGCAAGGCAATGACAATCAATGCAAAGCAATGCACAGCAATGCACAGCAATGCAAAGCAATGCAAAGCAATGCAAAGCAATGCAAAGCAATGCAAAGCAATGCAAAGCAATGCAAAGCAATGCAAAGCAATGCAAAGCAATGCAAAGCAATGACAATCAATGCAAAGCAATGTGAAGCAGTGCAGTGCAAGGGAAAGCAATGCCAAGCAATGCGAAGCAATGGAAAACAATGGAATGCGATGCGAAGCAATGCAATGCAACGCAAAACCAAAAGCAATGCCATTCAAAGCTTGCGATGCGAACGGGGAAGAGGGGGGGGGGGTGGCAACGATGGGGGCCGGTGCAACGGGGCGGCGGCGACGGACGGGATCGGGGCCGCCAGGCCAGCAAACAGGCCCCTTTTTTGGGGAAAAAGAAGGCGGCGACCGACGGGAACGGGGCCGCAACACCAACAGACGGGCCCAGTTCCTTAGAAGACGAATAAGACCCCATAAGTGCAAGCAGTGGTTGGGAAGAGCAAGCACCAGCAGCATACATCAATACCAAGCATCAACAACATACACCAGAAGCACGCCTCAACACCATACACCCATAGCATACATCAAAAACACGCATCAGTAGCATACACAACTGGCAGGCACCAAACGCGGTCAGCGGTAACAGACACCAGCAACGTACATCACAAACAGGCAGCCGTGGGAGGCATGAAGAGTAGACTCCGAAAGGAGACATCAATATCAGAAACCAGGCGCGGTGGTATTGTATACCTCCAGCTGTTTGGGGGCCGTCTTGGAGCTTGATGGACGCATGCTGGAGGGGTTGTCTTGGGAGCAGCTCGGGGCCGTGTGGGTGCCTCTTGGATCAGTAGTGGGGCTGTCGTCGTGGCTTTTTGGGCCATTCTGGAGCCCTCTTGGGCCGTGTTGGGCCTCTCTGGACCGTCTTGGGCGTCTCCCGGGCCGTCTTGGGCCATCTCGGAGTCCTCTTGGGTCTTCTTGAGCCCCTCGGGCCACCACCTCTTGGAGTGTCTCGAGGGCCTCTTGAGCCGTTTGAGACCTCTTATGGGCCTGCGTGTGTCCTTCTATGGGGGCCCTCTTAACGCCGTATTGGGCGGTCTTGGGGTCATTCGCGGGGCCTCTTGGGCCGTCTTGGGCGCTCTGACGACCGACGAGGGCATCATGTTAAAACTGTCAAATCGCCATCTATGGAACATCCATGAACCAGGAGGGCTGTTCGGGGCGAACTTGAGCCGGGCTTGCAGCATGCGAGCTATCCCTGGGCTCCCTCGGGGCCCTCTGGTCGCTGTGCGGGGATCCCCGTCGGGCTTCCTGGCGCCCGTCGGGTGCCTCCCCGGGGGCTGTCCTGAGCGGCCAGGGAGGGGGCCCGGGAGGCTCCAGGCGAGAGCGTGGTCTTGGGCAGGGATCGCCCGCGATCTCGTGAGCCGTTTTCGTTTCGCCCTCGCTCTGCAGCAAAGGCGTGTTGACGACAGAACGAGGGACAACGAAAACGACGCGAGAAGGGAAAACACTGCTTGGGCCGACCCCTGGTGGTGGGGGCCTAATGTCCCTCCGAGGGTACATGTGGACTGTGTGCATCCGCCCACCCTTGATGGGGGTATGGTCGGACAGCGGGGCCCGCGCTATCCCAGCGGGGATGGAGAGAGGTCTCATTGTGGTAGCCCCACCGAGGGTTTGGGGGGGGGCGGCTCAGGGTTGGGGGCGCGGACGAGGGGGTACAAACAACCCATCTAGTAAGGATGCGCGGTGAGGATGCAAGGGCCTTAGACGCCCATGCCGAGGCATTCGAACGGGGCTGGCCATCGAAAGTGGCTGGGAATGGACCGAAGGTGGCCGATGAGGCAAGGAGGCAAGGGTACCCTTGGGAAGTCGGGCAATCCTCACTATGCGGGTTGACTGTAGAGGGAAAGGGAGGGCTTCTTAGGAGGAGGCTGCTCTACAGAGAAGACCCGCGCCTTCTAAGAAGCAGGGGTGCTTGTAAGAAGCCTTCCTCCATTCCCCCGTACCCCTCTCTGCGCGTGGCTGACAGGAGGGGGAAACATCGAGCTAGAATCGGCGGTACATCGCGGATGGATCAGCGATAGGCCCCCCGACAGCGACACCGCACATTCCTTGGCGGGGTGGCCCATCAGGCCGCTGTCGACCATGCATGGGCGCTGGAGGCGTCGTCGCAGCCCCTCGTCGGGTGCTGCCAGGAGTGCCCCTGGCCCGAGGTGTTCCCAGGACCTCCCCGGAGGCCCCAGGGCCTCCAGGACGGACAAAAAAGCTGGGGGGCACCTTGGGCCAGGGGTACGCCTCAGGCAACCCCCGACCCCGCGCCTTCGTCGGCGCAGCACGGCGCTGGGCTGATTGCGCCTGTCCCCCCGAAGTGCTAGCTACCTCGGCTCGGCTGCACGCAGGAGTGACCCTGGGTGAGAGCGACCTCTGGGGCGCGGCTCTTGGGGGGCCGCGGGGGTGCCAAACACAAGCGCGCGAGACGCTACTACCGCATCGCGTTCGGCGATCGGGGGACCCCAGCCAAAGGCGACTCCGGCGAAAGGTCACTCCGGAGAAAGGTCACTCTTACGGAGGGCCTCCGGCCTAGGAGGAGGACGAGGAGGAGGACGAGGAGGAGGAGGAGGAGGAGGAGGAGGAGGAAGAGGCGGAGGAGGCGGGGGAGGAGGAGGAGGAGGAGGAGGAGGAGGACGAGGAGGAGAACGAGGAGGAGGAGGAGGAGGAGGCGGAGGAGGCGGAGGAGGCGGAGGAGGCGGAGGAGGAGGAGGAGGAGGCGGAGGACTGGGCCCGCGCCAAAGCCCACTCCGGCGAAAGGTCACTCTGGCGTGTAGCCGCTGGGCCTTCGGGTCATAACTTGCGGGCCTCTGGCGGCGCCGTGCCGGGACGACTCTGGCACCCCCAAGAAAGGCCCTCGACGAAGCGCAGCGGACGGCACCCGCCCCGGGCCTCGAAGATGCCCGAAGCCTTCGGAAACTTCTTGGAAGACCCCGAAGACGTTCGATAACGGTCGGGGGGTCGCCGCATCTCTCGAGCAGGAGGTCGACTGCAGAACTGATCTGCCCTCAAATCGATCCTGCCGCCGAATCTAAAAAAGGGGAATGCGTCGATTGGCCCTAGACCTACGAAGACTCTCTGCGCTTCAAGTGCTTGCATCGGGAGTTCGACAGAGAAAATCGATCCTGGGGTAGATGAACGATGTGGTCGATCACCTCCTCGTTTTCCTCCTCCTCCTCCTACTCCTCCTCCTCCTCCTCCTCCTCCTCTTCCTCCTTCCTCTCCTCCTCCTCCTCCTCCACCTCCTTCTTCTCCTCCTCCTCCTCCTCCTCCTCCTCCTCCTCCTCCTCCTCCTCCTCCTCCTCCTCCTCCTGTCAGGGGCATTGCGCCGCGTCCCCCCCGTGCCTTCGCCGGCGCAGCACTGGACCGGTCCCGAACCGCCCGCGCGGTGCTCGAGGGGGAAGCGGCACCGCGGGCACAGGGCCCTGCTGGCCGGCGGCGTGCCCCGCTTGGCGTCCCGGAGGACCTCGCGGTGGGCGGCGTTCCACCTCGAGAAGGGACTCGACTACATCCCAGCGCAGAGTTACGAAGATCTTGCGCCAAGAGAAAAGGGGCTTCACTCCGAGCGTTTTCGTAGACCGTGGTCCAGGTCCACAGTTACGAACGGCCTGCGAAGAAGGGAAGCCGCAAGAACACACCCCAGGTCCAGTCTGGCTTCTTAATTTTCTTAACCGAAGTCTGGAGTCCACGAAAGTTGACGCGTTTTCTTACGAGACCTGATGGGTGTACAGAATTGCTTCACCCCAAAATTAACTGTTTTGTTCTGCGTGCGATACGCAGACGCTCAGTAGATTGACGAACCATTGCCTGCGCATCTGTTCCCAGGTCCGACGAACAGAAACAACTCTGGGGTAAATCAAGACTGCAGACGGTCTCCTACTCGACCACCGGAGGGCGTCCCTGCGGAAGTTCGGGCCCGCGCTGCCGTCGGATCGTTGGGCCTTGCTTAGTGGGGGGGCGATGCACTCGAGGGCGATGAGAGCCCCGAGATTCTGGCGCTGCCATGTCGTTCGCGACGGGCGCTTTCGCCCGGCGTCGGGCCCCAGGACCCTCACAGGTCGATCCGGCGCGAACCACGGCGCAGACGGGTGGGGTCGGGGGCTCCGGCGGCGATCTCTTGCTGAGCCTGCCACTGTTCTGCAGCGTCAGATCTGCAGGTCAGATCTGGACGAACTTGCACTGCACGGTTTCCCCTGGGGCCGTAGGCGACCCGAGGAGGAGGAGGAGGAAGAGGAGGGGGAGGAGGAGGAGGAGGAGGAGAGGAGGGGGAGGAGGAGGAGGAGGAAGGAAGTGGAGGATGGGGGGAGAGGAGGAGATGGAGGAGGAGGAGGAGGAGGAGGAGAAGGAGGAGGAGGAGGAGGAGAAGGAGGAGATGGAGGAGATGGAGGAGGAGGAGGAGGAGGAGGAGGAGGAGAAGGAGGAGGAGGAGGAGGAGGAGGAGGAGGGAGGAGGGAGACGGGTCGCCTAAGCCGTCCGGCGAAACCCTCCAACTTGCACCGCTCGTGCCCCTCCTGGGCCCCAGGGGGGCCCCTGCGGTGCACGAGGGCGCTCCACTTCGCGCTCCGCGCTGCTGCGCTGCTGCGCGGGAGCGCGAGTCACTTCGCGCTCTCGCGCCCCGCCCCCCCCCCCAGGGGAGAAGAAGAGGAGGACGAGCGAACCGCGAAGCGCGCACCCAGAAGAGCAAAAGGCTGCACAAACATTGACTTTCGACGGTCCGCTCGGATCGCTTGCACCTGCGCTGGGCCCCCCCCCTGGCGCGCGGAGCGCGAGCGGGACCGACCCAAGAAACCTGCGCGGACCGCCAACGACTTATGCTTATGCCGTTTTCTTCTGCAAGAATCGGGAGGAGGACGAGCGAACCGCGAAGCGCGAATCACTTCGCGCCCTCTGGGGAAACCAACAGGGGCCGATACGGCGACTCCCCGGACCTCTCCTGGGGTGCGCTCTGTCCAGAATGCAGAGGCGAATCCAGCGGTGACGACGAGAGCTCCCCAGGAGGCTCCACAAAGGGGAGCACGAGGGCAAGGCAGAGGTATGGGCACCTTTTCCTCCTCGGACCCTCGAGGGGCGCCCTTGGCCAGCGCCCCCCCGCTACGCAACGCCCGAGGGTCGCCCGCACGCGCCGCCGCCCCGCTGCCCGCCCTGGCAGGTGCCCATTCGGGGCGCCGCCGCGCGCCGGGGCCCCGCCCGGGGGGGCTGCTGCCAGCCGTGGTCGGCGGCCCCGGGGCCAGAGAGGCGGCTGCGGAGGCGGCGCCGCACGGGCCAGCACCGGGCGCGGAGGCGCACGCGCACGGAGGAGGCTTAAGGAGGGAGGCAAGGGCTGCAGGGAGGCGACTGCTGGGAGGTCTTCGTCGGCAGGATTTCGACGAGGATGAAGCCCCACTGCGGGGGCTGCTGCGCCGGAGGAGGCCGCGGACGAAGCGGATTTCAGCCGGGTCGAGCGGGACTCCACCGGATTGCAAGCGGGACGGAACCGGATCAAGCCAGATTCCGGACCAGGGCAGGAGTCAGAATTTGACCTCCCGGGAGTTGCATCCGAAGCAGAGGAGGGAGGGGAGGGAGGCGCGGGCATGCAGGAGCGGGCCATGGCGCGCTGTGCCCACAGCCAGCGGCGCACCAGTCGCACGCGCGCGCGGCGCACGTGACCAGGACTTCGCGCTTCGGGAGGCCCCTCGGGCCCACGGGGACCACGTGAACGGCTCTGCCTTGCCGTGGAAGCGCAGCCCGCGGCGACCGCTGCGGTGGGCGAAAACGAAACAAGTCTGGACGAGGAAGAGGAGGAGGAGGAGGAGGAGAAAGGTCACGGCAAGGGTGAGGACGAAGAGGAATCCCGCTGGTCCTCTGGGGGCAGGTGCTTTAGATCGTTCGCTATTCAAACTTTCCTCTCCACTTCACCTTCGGGGAGAGACTCTCTACCACCTCTCCTCGGTCTGGACGGGTGGGGGGGGGGGCCGAGGTGCCAGGGGGTCCTTTATAGCTCAAGGTGGCACAAGTAGCGCCCCACATTGCCGAAGATGACGTCCAAGGTGGCACAGGATAGCCCACTATGGTTCAGGAGAGCTTCGAACAAGCCTCCACGAGGCCGCGATACAGCCACAACCACAAGACGGCCCCAGGTCGACACGGAGCCGCCCCTTGAAGACCCCGAGGAGCCAAACGATCGCGGCGAAGTACCTGGCCACATTCTGCTGTAGATGCCGCCGTTGGCAGCATCGCATTCGGTGGAGTTCCCTGTGGGACCACGAGTCGCGTGATGGGGTGAGCCGAAGTGGGCGGGGGGACCCCATGCGCTGGGTCCGCCGAAACCGTGGGTGGAGCTGCCCGTGGGGGGCACGGAGCGCGCGATGGTGGGCGGGGTTGGTCGGTTGGTCTCCGTGCGTCTGCGCCCACTGAGAGACCGCAGGCTGAGCTCCCTAGGGGGGAGGGCGACGAGACGCGTGAGCGGTGCGCCGAACCGGGCTGGGGGGAGCCTGTACGCCTGCGCCACATTGAGATGGAGCCACGAAGCGTGCGACGGATGCACCCAGTGCCGCGCGCACGACCTGCGCTGATGGGCGGATGTTCCAGCACCACTGCCACAGGTAGGAGAGGGAGGCGAAGGATGAGCAGGGGGACGAGGAGGAGGACGAGTAGGAGGAGGAGGAGGAGCAGGAAAAGGAGGGGGAGGGGAGGAGGAGGAACAGGAGCAGGAGCAGGAGGAGGAGGAGGAGGAGGAGGAGGAGGAGGAGGAGGAGGAGGAGGACCCCTCCCAATACGTCTGCGCCCACCAGGGCCGCAGTTGGAGCTCCCAACAAGGCCACGATACAAGCGAGGAGGGGTGCGCCGCGGAGGCCATGGGGAGCCCATGCGCCAGCGCCCATCTCCCTCCTCCTTCTCCTCCTCGGTCCTCCTCCACCTCGGGGGGAGAGACACTCCTGATCCTCCTCCTCTTCCTCTCCTCCTCCTCCTCCTCCTCCTCCTCCTCCTCCTCCCCGCCATCCTCATCATCCCCCTCCTCCCCCTCCTCGCCCCCCCCCCTGCAGGGCCGAGGAGCGTGTGAGGGGTGCGCCGAAGCGGGCACGCGGAAAGCAGAGGCAGGAACTGAGGAGGGAGGGGGGGCAGCGGGAAGGGGTGACTCGGGGGTGCTGCGGATTCGAAACGGGAAGCCAATTGCACAGGATGGCTGGGGTACAAGTTGCAGACGACTGCTTCAATCCTGCTTTGAAATGGCAGCCACCAGAGGAAAAAAAAAAAAAAAAAAAAAAAAAAAAAACCAAGAAGGCCCAAAGAGACCTCCAACACGATCCAGGATATCAAGAAGGACCCAAGAAGTGATGTTCCAGGCTCGGACAGGGGGGACCATAATCAGCGATGCCCTTTTCTAAGATTACACTCGATGCCCCGACGACGTTCCCAAACGAGCACCAAGATCGCCCAAGATGCGCGCGCGGTCCACTGCTGCGCCGCCCGGGTTCTATCAATTTTACGAGTCTTGCCGCTAGCCACACCACATGCTGAGTCTACTCGCCAAGGAGACCCCAAGGGGTGGACGATGCGGCGTAAGCCGATGAGTCTGCGTGCGAGTTTACCCCTGGGGCCCGCCGTGACTCCCGCTATGTGGGATCAGAGTGAGGAAAGATAATGGACTTGTGGGTGTTAAGGAGAGAGTCTCAAATATCTAGCCCACACCAAAGAAGACGACGAAGACAACGAGGAAGACCAGGGCGCCGGGGCCGATGACGAGATCCAAACCGATTCATGGTGCGCATCGGTTTCACCACATCGCCCGTACGCTGGCGTCGCGACCAAGAGCGCGGGCGAACGGCTCCTTGCAAAGACTCCTCCTCCGCCACCTGAGCAACGAAAAGAAATTGGCCTTACGCGAGATGGCACAGCGACCTCACGCGGCGGGTTACGCGGGCAACCAGCGCGGCAAGCCACATTGGAACAGAGAGCGTTTGCGCGCGACCTTATGCGGGCAGCTAGCGCGCCAACATCGGCCAAAACGACACAGTGTTTTTCAGTCGCTCACCCGATCCTCGAAAGCCTCCCCCTGCTCCTCCTCATTACCACCACCTTCCTCATACATTCACCTTGCGAGCCTGTAAGCTTTCCCGCTGGCGCAAGCTGTGCTCCGATACCGGTGCTGGCCAGGCCCATCCTGGGGCCAGTATCGGCGCATGCGACTTCCTGGCTAAGCCTGGATAGCTAACTGATGCAATTATCCTGGACGGAGGAGGAAGAGGAGGAGGAGGAGGAGGAGGAGGAGGAGGAGGAGGAGGAGGAGTGGGAGGAGGGGGAGGAGGAGGGGGAGGAGGAGGGGAGGGGGGAGGAGGCGGAGGAGGGGGAGGGGGAGTATAGGATAG